AGAGATGGAGTAGGATACCAGCAAGCGCCACCACCTCTCCCACCACCATCCAGAATTATACACATGATAACAGGCGGACCCGAAGCAGGTGGCACAAGCGCCAAACAGCAAAAGCTGTACGTAAGGGAGGTCAGACACCATAATGCAGCCCAGAAAAGGAAGATCGACGAGGAGGATTGGAAAAACCAATCTGTGACATTCACTTCGGCCAACCTCGAGGGGGTCGTCACACCCCATAACGACCCATTAGTCACCTCGGTCATCATTAACAACTGCGAGGTCCAGCGAGCGCTCATTGACACCGGCAGTGCTCCAGACATAATGTATTATCACTGCTTTGAGAGCCTCGGACTCGACCCCGCCCTCCTGCAAAAGTATGATGGGCCCATCTACGGCTTCAATAACCAGCCAGTACCCGTGGAAGGAGTGCTGCGACTCAACGTGACGTTCGGCTCCAGACGAACGTATGTAACACCCTCAGTCAGATTCCTGGTAGTGAAGATGCCTTCATCTTTTAATCTCGTCATCGGGAGGCCGACTTTGACTGAGATTCGAGCTATAGTGTCCCAGTCCCACCTCTGCATGAAATTCCCCATGCCAATGGGGGTAGCAACCTTGCGAGGCAATCAAGAGGCGGCCAGGCACTGCTACATGACCTCCGTCGCGAGGTCACGAAGAAATAAGGAGGTAGTCCCATCACCAGAGGCACCCCAACCAGAGGCCCCGAATACCCAATAGGTAATGGGTGTAGAGCTGCCAGATAACAGACCAGAGGATAACCCAAGAGCCACCTCGGTCGAGGAGGTCGAGGAGGTCGAAGAGGTGCAACTTGATGATAATGACCCATCCAAGAAGACTCAGATCGGCACGAAGCTGACTCCCATAGAAAAAGAAGAACTTGTGGGCTTCCTAAAAGCAAACAAGGATGTGTTTGCATGGACTTCGGCTGACATGCCTGGAATCCCAACTTCGGTGGCAGTACACAAACTCAACACTAATCCTTTGCGGAAGCCAGTAGCATAGAAGAGACGGCTTTTCGGGGGGGAAAGACTCACGGCCATTAAGGAAGAAGTTAAGAACCTCTTGCAAGCAGGGTTTATCAGGAGAGTAGATTACTGCGAATGGATTGCCAACCCTGTCATGGTAAAAAAGTCAAACGAGAAGTGGCGCATGTGCATCGATTATACCAACCTCAACGACGCCTGCCCTAAAGACTGTCATCCTATGCCGAGCATAAACAAGCTGGTAGAGGCCGCCTCAGGGAATGAGAGGTTAAGCCTCTTGGATGCTTACTCGGGGTATCATCAAGTCCGCATGGCACCCGAGGACGAGGTGAAAACCTCATTTTATGCCGGAGATGAAATATACTGCTATGTGATGATGCTGTTTGGGCTCAAGAATGCAGGGGCAACATACCAGAAAATGGTCACAATCGTGTTTCGGGCTCAAATTGGCAGGAACCTAGAGGTCTATGTAGATGACATTGTTGTCAAAAGTTCTCGAGCAGAAGACCACTTGACCGACCTGGCCGAGACGTTCAACAACCTTAGAAGGTGCAGCATGAAGTTGAATCCA